TGCCCTTTGGACCAGGGCGTGCCACAAACAGAACCTTTGGAATTTCCAGGTCCCGGCTGTTGAGATCGTTTGGAATGTTGCAGCTGAGGGGGAGGAAAAAAAAAAAAGAGCATTCTGCGGTCAAAGTCCCTTTTCAAAGCTTTTTTAAAAAATCCGTTTTAAAAGTTTTAAAGTCTCTTTTCTAAGCTTTTTTTAGGATGTAGGGCAGGGGTTCCTGTTCCCTCACAGATGTGGAAAAGATCCGTGTCCAGGGAATGAAAAAATTCCTCAGTTCCCTGATCCACGTGGAATTCCACATGGATATTCTGGATCTGGGTTTCAGGTGAGTCTGGCCGGAGTAGAAACGTCCACAACGAGGATTTTTGGGAGAATTCTGAGCTGGGGGAGCTTTATTGGCATTCCCCAGGGAAGGATTCCAGGTTGAAATTTAATTTTGCCTCAATGGAAATTCCTATTATTTCTGGGTGGTTTCAGGTGAAGCTGTCAATGATAATTTAATGCTAATTCAAAGAAATTAACGTTAAATTATCTGCCTTAATTGAATGAATTAAACAATCTGCTCATGCCTAAATCTGACGTATAATTGGGATTTTGGTCCCTTATAAGGGGAATTAGTCAAGGAATTATTGGTTGCAATTTCCTCAGAATTTATTTTGTCATTCCCTGCTTGAATTAGTTTTTAGTTTAATTTGGAGAGATTTCGCCCTTATTTGAAGGAGCATAAACCAGAAATTAATCAAAACCAAGACAGAAATTGCTCTGGAGCTTTTAATCCTTCCTATTATTCTTTTGTTCATCAAATTCTCGGAAAAGGGGATTTTTCCTCAGGTTAATCACTGAACAGAAACATCAGGGCTCAAAAATCGGTCTGGAATCCTGGAAATTATGATTAAATATTATAACTTACATTAATTAAATATGAATTAGAAAAAGTTTTTTGCAGAAAGGGTGATAAAGTATTGGAATGGTTTGCTCCGGGAGGTGGTGGAGTCACCATCTCTGGATGTGTTTTAAAAAACGTTTCGATGTGGCACTCGGTGCCACGGTCTAGTTGAGGTTTTAGGAATTTCTGATTTTTTGGAATTCCTGCTTTTCCCCATAAAATCAGAGGCATCTCCAGGGATTTTCCCCAGATTTTTGGGTTAGTGATGTCTGCCACCATTTAAAATAAATCGGTGGAAGAAATGAATCCCACTCCATGATCGTGAAGGTCTCTTCCAATCTGGTGATTCTGTGACTCTGTGATCCTGTGATTCTGTAATTCTGTAATTCTGTGACTCCGTGATCCTGTGATTTTGTCATTCTGTAATTCTGTGACTCCGTGATCCTGTGACTTTGTGATTCTGTAATTCTGTGACTCCGTGATCCTGTGATTTTGTCATTCTGTAATTCTGTGACTCCGTGATCCCGTGATTTTGTGACTCCGTGATCTTGTGATTTTGTGATTCTGTAATTCTGTGACTCCGTGATCCTGTGACTTTGTGATTCTGTAATTCTGTGACTCCGTGATCCCGTGATTTTGTGACTCCGTGATCCTGTGATTTTGTGATTCTGTAATTCTGTGACTCCTTGATCCTGTGATTCTGTGACTCCGTGATCCTGTGATTTTGTGAGTCTGTGATTTTGTGACTCCGTGATCCTGTGATTTTGTGATTCTGTAATTCTGTGACTCCTTGATCCTGTGATTCTGTGACTCCGTGATCCTGTGATTTTGTAATTCTGTGATTTTGTGACTCTGTGATCCTGTGATTTTGTCATTCTGTGATTTTATGACTCCATGATCCTGTCATTCCATGATTCTGTGATTCTGTGATTCCCTGATTCTATTATTCCACGGTTCTGTGATTCAGATTCCATGATTCTATGATTCTGTGATCCCATGATTCTCTGATTCCATGATTCTGTTATTCCGTGATTCTATGATTCTGTGATTCCGTTATTCCCTGATTCCCCGATTCTGTGATTCTGTGACTCCCTGATTCCCTGATTCCCTGATTCTGTGATTCCATTGTTCTATAATTCTATAATTCTATGATTCTGTGATTCTGTGATTCCCTGATTCTGTGATTCTGTGATTCTGTGATTCTGTGATTCCATTGTTCTGTGATTCCATTGTTCTGTGATTCCGTGATTCCGTGATTCCGTGATCCCATGATTTTGTGATTCTGTGATTCTGTGATTCTGTGATTCTGTAATCCTGTGATTCCCTGATTCTTTGATTCCATGATTCCGTGATCCCATGATTTTGTGATTCCCTGATTCTATGCTTCTGTGATTCTGTGATTCCCTGATTCCCCAATTCTGTGATTCTATGATTCTGTGATTCTGTGATTCCCCGATTCTGTGATTCCCCGATTCTGTGAATCTGTGATTCTGTGATTCCATTGTTCTGTGATTCCCTGATTCCATGATTCCATGATTCCGTGACTCCGTGATTCTGTAATCCCATGATTCCGTGATTCTGTGATTCTGTGATTCCCTGATTCCCCGATTCCGTGATTCTGTGATTCCCCGATTCTGTGATTCTGTGATTCCCCGATTCTGTGATTCTGTAATCCTGTGATTATGTGATTCCCTGATTCTGTGATTCTGTGATTCCCCGATTCTGTGATTCTGTGATTCTGTGATTCCTGATTCTGTGATTCCCTGATTCTGTGATCCTGTGATTCTGTGATTCTGTGATTCTGTGATTCCTGATTCTGTGATTCCCTGATTCTGTGATTCCATGGTTCTGTGATTCTGTGATTCTGTGATCCCATGATTCTGTGATTCCTGATTCTGTGATTCCCTGATTCTGTGATCCTGTGATTCTGTGATCCCATGATTCTGTGATTCCTGATTCTGTGATTCCCTGATTCTGTGATTCCCTGATTCCCCGATTCCCTGATTCTGTGATTTTGTGATTCTGTGATTCCCCGATTCTGTGATTCCCTGATTCCCCGATTCTGTGATTCTGTGATCCCATGATTCTGTGATTCCCTGATTCTGTGATTCCCTGATTCCACAATTTTATCCCCCAGGTCCCACTGGCCAATCCTGTGCCAGAACCTCAGGGAATCGCAGCAGGATGTCCAAGGAGCTCCGTGCTTCCCAAGGAGAAGGATTTGGAGAAGAGACAGAAAGAGGGGCTGGGAAAGGCCCTTCTGGCTCCTCACACTCCCCGGCAGGAGGGCGCAGCCAGGGGCAGGGAAGGATCGGATCGGATCCCGGGGAACAAGGCTTGGGATGAGAGGAAGCAGCCTCAGGCTCGGCCAGGGAGGGTCAGGTTGGACATCAGGAGGAAATTTCTTCCTGGGAAGGACTGGAAGGGGCTCCCCAGGGAACGCTGGAGTTGTCATCCCTGGAGGTGTCCAAGTGTGGCGTTTTCAGGGTCCCCCCGTTGTGGGGAGCAAAGATGAATCTGACTCCATGTTCTTAGAAGGTTGATTTATTATTTTCTGTTACTCTGTTGTTGCGGCGTGTTGCAATCTCCTGTTTTGAACTTCCCAGGCCCTTCCCCAGGCGTGGCAATGCCCCTCTCCCTTCCCCCTCGCCCCCGTGACCTGGTGGCTCCATGATTCCATTCAGAGTTCCACCATGGGTGGTGGGATGTCCCCCATGACCTGGTAACCTCATCATCCCATTCCCTGCTCACAGAGACCCCACATGGGTGGTGGGATCACGACCATTGACACCTCCATGCCCTGGTGGCTCCATGATCCCGTTCTGTGCTCCCTGAGATCCAGCAGGGGTGGTGGGACCATGACCATTGACACCTCCATGCCCTGGTGGCTCCATGATCCCATCCCAGCTCCCAGATGTCCACCTTGGTTGGGTTGATGTCCCCCAGGAGCTCATGGCTCCACGCCTGTCCTGAGGTGGCTCAGACATGGATGAGGATGGACCTGAGCTGGTGTCTGGTGTCTCCCATCACCTGGTGGCTCCATGATCCCATTTTCTGCTCCAGATGATCCAGGATGGGTGGTGGAACATCCTCCATGACCTGGTGGCTCCATGATCCCGTTCTGTGCTCCCAGAGACCCACCATGGGTGGTGGGACCATGGCCATGGACACCTCCATGCCCTGGTGGCTCCATGATCCTGTGACTCGGGCACCGAAGCCGAGTTATCCCATGGATTTTTGGGGGTTTTTTTGGGGGATAAAACCAGAATTCCAGGGGTTCACCCCCAGTTTCCTGCTGGATTTTTGAGGAGAAAAAAACGAAACTACACCAGGACCATTTTCCTGCATTTTGGGGTGAATTTTATGCCACAAAACCCAAAAACCCCAAAACCCCGTTCCAAAACTGAGAATTCCCACAAATTTGGGATTTTTTTGGGATAAAACCAGAATTCCAGGGGTTCACCCCCAGTTTCCTGCTGGATTTTTGGGAACAATCAACGACACTTCACCAGATCCATTTTCCTGCACTTTGGGGTCACTTTATACCACAAAACTCAAAACCCCACGCCGAAGCCGAGCATTCCTGGGGATTTGTGGGGGTTTTTTTGGGGCTAAAACCAGAATTCCAGGGGTTCGCCCCCAGTTTCCTGCTGGATTTTTGGGGACAAAAAATGACACTTCACCAGAACCATTTTCCTGCACTTTGGGGTCACTTTTTTCCACCAAACTGAAGCCGAGCATTCCTGGGGATTTGTGGGGTTTTTTGGGGGGGCCAAAACCACAATTTTGGGGATTCACCCCCAGCTTCCTGCTGGATTTTTGAGGACAAAAAACGAAACTTCACCAGATCCATTTTCCTGCACTTTGGGGTCACTTTATTGCACAAAACTGAAGCCGAGCATTCCTGGGGATTTGTGGTGTTTTTTTGGGGCTAAAACCAGAATTCCAGGGATTCACCCCCAGTTTCCTGCTGGATTTTTGGGGAACAAAAAACGACACTTCACCAGAACCATTTTCCTGCACTTTGGGGTCACTTTTTTCCACCAAACTGAAGCCGAGCATTCCTGGGGATTTGCGGGGGGGTTTTTTTTGGGGCCAAACCCACAATTTTGGGGGTTCACCCCCCGCCGGGGCACGGCGGCAGCCCGGCGATGCTCCGGCACCTGCCCAGCTCCACGCGGACGCCGGTGACGCCGCCGCTCCACGCCGTCCCCGCCACGTCCACACGGTGCGGGGGCCCCGAGCGGAACTCGCGCGTCAGCCGCGCCCCGAACGGGACCCGGATCCTCCTCCGGAGCCCCCGGAGCAGCACGGAGCACTCGGAGCGCGCCGGGATCTCCGGCCGCGCGCGGTGCACCCGCGACACGAACTCGGTGACGGCGGCTCCGCCGACCCACGGCACGGCGGTGACGTTGCCCAGATCCCACCCGCGCGGGTCGGTCAGGACGATGGGGGGCGCGCGGAGAACCCCGCGGGCGGCCGCCAGCGCCGGCAGCGCGGCGCTCCAGCCCCGCTCAACCTCGGTGGCCTCCTCCACGGCCACCTCCTTGGACACCGCCTCGCACCCTTCGTTCCTGGCCAGCACCTCGGCCAGCTCCGCGTCCTCGGCGCTCTCCAGCGCCGCGCCGCCGTCGTAGGACACGTCGGCGATGGAGACGCCGGCGGCGCCCTGGCGCACCGCCAGCACCTGGTACCACTTGTACCAAACCTCCTCGCCCCGCACGGGCACGAAGAGCGCCTGCTGCTCCTTGGACACCTTGCCCAGCCCCTCGGGGCCGCGGCCCACGAACACGTCGGTCAGCGGGCAGCCCTCGACGGCGCCGGGCGGCGTCCCCCCGAAGGAGTCGTCCACCCAGTCGAGCGCCTCGAAGCCGCCGGGGTTGAGGAGCAGCCGGAAGTCGGCGCTGCGCCAGCTCCTGCTCGTGCCAGGGGGTAGGAGCAGAAGGGGCCGCGGGCGGGCTCGAAGGAGCCGAGGTTGCAGCCGTGGGCGCGCGTGGAGCACACGAAGGCGGCGCGGCCCGACGCGGGGTCCGGGCTGGACACGGCGTCGGCGGGGACGGAGCCGCGGAACGGAGCCCAGCGGAGCCACGGGGAGGCGGCCACGGAGCGAGGGAGGCGCCGGGAGGGAGCTGGAATGGAGCGGGAGGGACTGGGATGGACTGGGAGGGACTGGGAGGGACTGGGAGGGACTGGGATGGGATTGGGGTGGACTGGGAGGGATTGGGATGGAGTGGAAGGAGATTGAGCTGGAATGAGATGGACTGGAAGGAACTGGGATGGATTGAGAATGAGTGGGACAGACTGGGAAGGAACTGGGAGGGACTGGGAGGGACTGGGATGGAGTGGGAGGAGATTGAGATGGAATGCGATGGACTGGAAGGAGATTGGGATGGACTGGGACAGACTGGGATGCACTGGGATGGACTGGGATGGACTGGGACAGACTGGGATGCACTGGGACAGACTGGGATGCACTGGGATGGACTGGGAGCGGTTCAGGCTGGCCACGGCGTCGGCGGGGACGGAGCCGCGGAACGGAGCCCAGCGGAGCCACGGGGAGGCGGCCACGGAGCAAGGGAGGCGCCGGGAGGGAGCTGGACTGGAGCGGGAGGGACTGGGAGGGACTGGGAGGGACTGGGAGGGACTGGGAGGGGATTGGGATGGACTGGGATGGACTGGGACAGACTGGGATGGACTGGGAGGGAGTGGGATGGAGTGGGAGGAACTGGGATGGGATTGTGGGGAGGACTGGGAGGGACTGGAAGCATATTGGGATGGACAGGGGTGGACTGGGATGGACTGGGAGGGAATTGGAGGGACTGGGAGAGGATTGAGATGGACTGGGAGGGGATTGAAATGGACTGGGATGGACTGGGATGGACTGGGGAGGACTGAAACCCAACTGGGACCAAACTGGGAGGGACTGGGATGGATTGCAAGGGACTGGGAGGGGAACGAGAGGAACTGGAAGGGACTGGGATGGACTGGGATGGACTGGGAGGGATTGAGATGGATTGGGGGGAACTGGGAGGGACTGGGATGGGATCACGATGGACTGGGATGGACTGAAATGGACTCGGGGGGAGCTGGAATGGACTGGGAGGGGACTGGGATGCACTGGGAGACACTGGGATGGAATGGGATGGAGTGGGAGAGAGCTGGAATAGAGTGGGATAGACTGGGAGGGACTGGGAGGGACTGGGAGGGGATTGGGATGGAAAGAGAGGGACTGGGATGGACTGGGAGGGACTGGGAGGGGATTGGGATGGAAAGAGAGGGACTGGGATGGAGTGGGATGGAGTGGAAGGAGATTGGGATGGGCTGGGGCAGACTGGGATGGACTGGGAGGGACTGGGATGGGATTGATATGAACTGGAAGGGTCTGGGATAGACTGGGATGGACTGGGAGGGACTGGGAGGGGATTGGGATGGAAGAGAGGGACTGGGAGGGACTGGGAGGGACTGGGAGGGGATTGGACGGGGATTGGGATGGATTGGGATGAGCTGGGATGGAGTGGGAGGGGTTGGGATGGACTGGGAGGGACTGGGAGGGACCGGGATTGAGTGGAAGGGACTGGAAGGGGCTTGAGATGGACTGGGAGGGACTGGGATGGACTGGGAGGGACTGGGATGGGATCAAGATGGACTGGGATGGACTGGATGGACTGGGACAGACTGCAATGGGATTGAGATGGATGGGGATGCACTGGAGAGACTGGAAAGGACTGGGATGGAGTAGGAGGGAGCTGGAATGGATTGGGAGGAACTGGGATGGACTGGGATGGACTGGGATGGACTGGGATGGACTGGGATGGACTGGGATGGACTGGGAGGGATTGGGAGGGAACTGAGCACCACTGGGATGGACTGGGGAGGACTGAAACCAAACTGGGACCAAAGTGGGATGGACTGGGAGGGACTGGGATGGAGTGGAAGGGGACTGGGATGGGATTGAAATGGACTGGGATGGACTGGTCCATACTGGGAGGGGACAAGGCCATACTGGTCCATACTGGTCCCTACTGGTCCCTACTGGTCCATACTGGTCCATACTGGGCCACACTGGTCCATACTGGTCCCTACTCGTCCATACTGGGCCATACTGTTCCCTACTGGTCCATACTGGTCCCTACTGGTCCACACTGGTCCATACTGGTCCCTACTCGTCCATACTGGGCCATACTGGTCCATACTGGGCCATACTGGTCCATACTGGGCCATACTGGGCCATACTGGTCCATACTGGGCTATACTGGTCCATACTGGTCCATACTGGTCCATACTGGGCTATACTGGTCCATACTGGTCCATACTGGTCCATACTGGTCCATACTGGTTTATACTGGTCCATACTGGTCCATACTGGTCCATACTGGGCCCTACTGGTCCATACTGGTTTATACTGGTCCATACTGGTTATACTGGTCCGGGCTCCATCCAGCGCTCACCTGGGATCTCCCCGTGGTTCCTGCCCGGGGCCGGCGCCGCCGCCATCCCCGGAACTCCCGGAACTCCCGGAATTCCCGGATTTCCCAAAATTCCCGGAATTGCCGGAATTCCGGCTCCGAGCAGCAGCAGCAGCGCCGGGAGCTGGGGGGACCCGGGGCCGTCACCCCCAAACCCCAACCCCCAAACCCGACCCCTAACTTCCCTTTTGGGACCAAACCCCAAATTGACCCAAATCCAACCCCAAAATTCCCTTTTAGGGCTGAAATCCCCACAAACCCAAAACTGACCCCAAATTCCCTTTTGGGACTGAACCCCAAATAACCCAAAACTGACCCAAAATTCCCTTTTGGGACCGAACCCCAAATACCCCAAATCGACCCCAAATTCCTTTTTGGGGCTGAACCCCCCTCACCCCAACCCAACCCCAAAATTCCCTTCTGGGGCTGAAACCCCCCATTTCCCAAACCCGACCCCAAATTTCCTTTTGGGGCTGAATCCCCAAATTGTCCCAAACCCGACCCCAAATTCTCCTTTGGGGCTGAAACCCCAAATTGGCCGAACCTGACCCCAAAATCCCTTTTGAGGCTGAACCCCCAAATTGGCCCAAAATCGACCCCCAAATTCCCTTTTGGGGCCGAAGCCCCTGATTGGTCCCACCCCAACCCCAATTCTCTTTGGGGCTGACCCCCCCCAAATGCCCCACACCTGACCCCACCAATCCCCTTATGCGGCTAACACCCCCAATTGGCCACACCGACCCCCAATTCCCTATTGGGGCTGAACCCCCAAATGCCCCAATTCTCATTTTGGACCCAACCCCCAAATTGGCCCAAACCCAACCCCAAATTCCTTTTGGGGCTGAAACCCCAAATTGGCCCCAAATTCCCTTTTGGGACCGAACCCCACATTGACCCAACCCGACCCCCAATTGACCCCACAATGACCCCACATTCCCATTTGGGGCTGAAACCCCAAATAGTTCCAAATCCCTTTTGGGGCCAAAACCCCCAGATTGGCCCCAACCTGACCCCCCAAAATTCCCTTGGGGCTGAACCCCCCACATTGACCCAACCTGACCCCCAAATTCTTCTTTTGGGGCTGAAATCCCAATATAACCCCAATCCGACCCCCAATTCCCTTTTGGGACCGACCCCCAAATAACCCAAAATCGCCCCCAAATTCTCTTTTGGGGCTGAAACCCCAAATGTCCCAAAGCCGCCCCAGCCCCGGATTTGCGATCTCATCCCATTCCTGCCGTTACTTCAAATAAACATGTAACAAATTCCAATCAACCTTCGAAATGACGCAATGAAAGATTCCAAATTGAAAAAAAATGGATTAAAATTTAAAATTTAAAAGTAAAATAAAAATATTCCCACATTTTAAGCCCGTTACACCATTAAAATAGGAATCATTTGAATATTAAAATCAAAAATTTGTTGATACACACTTCAACCTACCACCATTAAACATGAAAATGAAAAAATAGTCAAAAATTTAAATTAAAATTAAAAACTTATTGATAAAAATTCAAATTAACATTTTAAAATGAATATTAAAAAATAAATAATTTAAAATTTTACATTAAAAACTTATAAATAAAAAACACAAAATTCAGGATTCAAAAGAAAAATTGAAAATAATTTAAAATTTAAAATTAAACACGTATAAATAAAAAGTCAAAATTCAGAATTCAAAATATTGAAAAATTTAAAAATTAAAACTAAATACAACTTTTTAAATTAGGACATGTAGAAAATTAAAATTAAAATTGAGAAATTAATAGATAGAAATCTGGCCACTTACCACTTACCGGCCAACTTTAACATATTAAAAATAAAGATTAATAACAAACGAAAACATTACCAAATTTAACCTATTACAAATCAGAAGGTCAATAATTAAAGAATTAAAATTTGAAATATAGAAAAATTAATAATTAAAGTATTGAAAATTAAAAATCAATAAAAATTAAAAGCATTAAGAATTAAAGCATAAAAATTTTAACACTCCACACCTTCTACATTAAAACACTAAAAAAATAGAAAGTTAAAAATTAAAGAAATACAAATTAAAAGATTGAAAAATTAGAAATGACAATTTAAATTAAAAATTTAAAAATCAACACTAAAACAAAAAGCAAAATAAAAAATAAAAAATTTAAAAAAACATAAATTCTTAAAAATTAAAAATTAATTTTAAAATGAATTACTTATAAAATTGCAAAATTAAAAAAATTAAAACAACACAATTAAAAATTCAAAGTTAAAAATATTAAAAATTAAAAATTTTAGAATGAAAATTTCTGATTTTTGGACACAAATTAAAAATAAATCCCCAATTTTATTTCCCCTCCCCCCCGGCCGTACCTGGGGCGGCGCCATCGCTCGGGGGCTGCGGAAAAATCCGGAAATTCCTCAAACATCCACCCCGAACCCCAAATTCCCAAGTTTGGGGGTCCCAACACCCCAAATTTTGGGGCTCCCCCCATTCCCAGCCCCCATTTTGGGGGTTTTTACCCCCAAAAATCCACATTTTGGGGCGTTTTTCGGTCAAAATTTGGGGGTTTCCCTCCCAGAATTCCCATTTTTGGGGCTCCAAATCCCCAATTTTGGGGTTTCCCCTCTCTAAAAATCCAAGTTTTGGGGTTCCCCCATCCCAAACCCCCAAATTTGGGGCTCCCCCATTCCCAGCCCCATTTTGGGCTTTTTTAACCCCCAAAATTTGAATTTTGGGGCGTTCCCAGCTCCAATTTTGGGATTTTCCCCCCAAATTTCCCCATTTTGGGCTCCCCAAACCCCAAATTTTGGGGTCCCCTCTCCCCAAATTCCCATTTTGGGCTCCCCCAAATTCATTTTTGGGTGTTCCTC